CTCTCTCTCTCTCTTTCACTCCTGCTTCTACTCTACCTCTTCCTCCCCCTGCTTCCTCCTCCCTCCTCCGCGTCCTCCTTCCCCTCCTTGCTCCTCTTCCGATAGACGTTGCGTAGATCTCTGTGAATGGTCGCCCCGGCCAGACCAGGAGAGCCCGCGCGTGCGCGCGCGCCCCAGTCTCAGCCGGCAGGCGGCGGCAGAGAGCAGGCAGGTGCCCTTGGCCTGCGCTGGAAGCGCCGACCGCGGCAAACAAGCGAAGGTTAGGGGGAGGAGGTGACGGAAGGGGACGAGGGGGAGGAGGAGGAGAAGGAGGAGAAGGAGACGAGGAGGGGGAGGAGGAGGAGGAGGAGGAGGAGGAGGAGGAGGAGGAGGAGCACGGTCATCAGCAGCAGCAGCTCCACGGTGGCGGCACGATGAGGGGCAGGAGGAGGGGCAGGAGGAAGGGCGGAGGGGCACGCTCCACGGTGGGGGCACGGAGGAAGGGGCAGGAGGAGGGGAAGGAGGAGGGGCAGGAGGAAGGGGCACGATGAGGGGCAGGAGGAGGGGCAGGAGGAAGGGAACGAGGGGGAGGAGGAGGAGAAGGAGGAGGTGGATGAAGAGGAGGAGGAGGAGGAGGAGCAGGAGGAGGAGGAGGAGGAGGAGGAGGAGGAGGAGGTGGAGGAGCACGGTCATCAGCAGCAGCAGCAGCTCCACGGTGGCGGCACGAGGAGGGGCAGGAGGAGGATTGGGTGGGGAGGGGCAGGAGGAGGGCGGAGGAGGGACAGGAAGAAAAGCAGGATGGACGAGAAGAAGTGGCCTGGAGCGGCAAGATGAAGATGAAGATGATGATGATGATGATGATGATGATGATGATGATGATGATGATGATGATGATGATGATGATGATGATGATGATGATGATGATGATGATGATGATGATGATGATGCTGATGCTGATGCTGATGCTGATGCTGATGCTGATGCTGATGCTGGTGCTGGTGCTGATGATGATGATGATGAAGATGATGATGATGATGATGATGATGATGATGATGATGATGATGATGATGATGATGATGATGATGATGATGATGATGATGATGCTGATGATGATGATGATGATGATGAGGATGAGGAAGGTGAGGAGGAGGAGGAGAAAGAGGAGGAGGGATGAGTGCGAGAGGCGGATGGAAAAGGAGGAGGATGGGCGAGGCAGAGGAGGGGATGATGATACTGTAGGGGCATGGTGTTATGAATGCTGCTTCAGATGGTTTTGTTGTTGTTGGTGGTGGTGATGGTGATGACGATGATGATGCTGCTGCTTCTGCTGATGATGATCCTGATGATTATGACGATGATGACGATGATGATGATGACGATGCTGATGCTGATGATGATGATGCTGATGATGCTGCTGCTGATGCTGCTGATGCTGATGATGCTGATGATGACGATGACCATGATGATGCTGATGATTGTGGCGGTGGTGGTGGTGGCTGTGATGTTGATGATAATGATGATGATGATGATGATGAGGAGGAGGAGGAGGAGGAGGAAGAGGAGGGTGAGGAGGGTGAGGAGGAGGAGTGATAGGTTGATGCCGAGTACTTCGTTGAGGGTCAGGTCCAACGTCCTCTCGACAGGTCCGCCATCCCAGGGTCCGCCCCCCCCCGGAAGGATCCCTGAAGCGTAGATCGACGAGTGCCTTGATACACTTGCTCTGAGGACCACATATTGCCCCTCCCTCCCCCCCAATGGGTGCATTGTAATTGTGAGGGGTCTCGCTCCTGGCATTGGCTGCGCCATGGGCGCTTTGGAGGATGGCGGGACGGAGGGACGATGCCATGCCTCTAGCTCTCCCGTTGTGTCATATGCTGCTCCGTGGCGTGGGTTCCGGTCGATCGAGACCAAGTTTAGGGATCCCGTGGTCGGCATTTCGGGGGAAGGCGCCGATTTCTGCTAGATTTGGAGCCCAAGCCCTCGTTGTCCCTGCCCCTGCCCCTGCGAACAGCGCCGACGTGGAACATTCATGTCTGCGCGCATGTATCGCATGTTCCGCGGCATGGGCTGCAGGTGGCGGGGCTGGCGTTGCGAGCCGTACGTTCTTTGCGCTGCAGGTGTGCGAGCTGTGTGTCCTTTGGGCGGGCATGCTCCCAAACAGCCTACAGCATTGCGCGGCCTCCATACGAAGAGTGATCGATTCTTCATCATTGCTTCTTTGGGCAGGCCGCCGTGAGAACGGCAATCGGCATATCTGAATCACCGCAGTTATCAAACTTTCCTCAATCTGTTTGCCTGCCCTCGGCCCCTTCAAATCAATAAGTGCTCCTCTGGCATCAGCACCTTGCATGGCGTCAGCGCGACCCCTTTCCCTCCCCTCTCCTTCCTGCCCCCTCCAGGTTGATGGGATCGACCCCACCACCCTTGCTAGCGGTGTCGCCGAGGAGCTGAGAATGGCCCGGAAGGAGTCCGGGTCAGAGAAGGGGCGCAAGGGAGTCAGAGGGGAGGATGGGGGAACGGAAGAGGGAGGGATGCTAAAAGGACCCTGGAAGCGGCAGGGCTTTTCTTTAGTCATGTTCTGTTTAGCAGTTTGTTTGCCGGTCCATGCGCCTTTTCTTCTTGTTTCTGTCGCTGTGTTGTTCCAGTTCCGTTTCCGCTTCCCATCGTAGATTTTTTGTCCTGTTTTCGGGAGCCGTGCTTGTTTTGATTCTTGGGATTACGTCCCACCGCCGAACCCTTTGGGGGATCCTGGTAGGTCTCTCGGGGGCCTCCTGGCAGCACTTTTGATGCCTTTTGGGGGCCGCCTCTTGGGGCGTCTCGGGGGCCTCTTGGGCCATCTGGGGGCCATCTTGGGCGTCTTGGAACGATCCATCGGCGACTCGGGGCCCTCCTGGACCATCTTGTGGGCCTCTTGGGGTCCTCATGGCCCGTCGTGAGGCCCGTGGCGCGTTCACCCGGGGCCAGCCGGACCCCCCCCCTCCAAAACGACGGGACCGGGCCTGGGGGGGAGGGGTTTGGGGAGGGGGAAGCATCTCACACGCCGATGACCCCAAGGGGTCAGCGGATTGTTTTCATGTTCCAGGGACAGCGTTTTCAAGACGGTCCGCCGAAAAACGGCCCTGCCGTTTCCGGGTCACACTGCGCAAGAAATGCCCCTTCTCGGTCGCTTCCGCGGCGAACGGAGAAGGGGAAGGAGGAGGAGGCGGATGATGATGGTGATGCTAGTGCTGATGCTGCTGCTGCTGCTGCTGATGATGATGATGAGGAGGAGGAGGAGGAGGAGGAGGAGGAGGAGGAGGAGGAGAGGAGGAGGGGGAGGAGGAGGAGGAGGAGGAGGAGGAGGAGGAGGAGAGGAGGAGGAGGAGGAGGAGGAGGAGAGGAGGAGGATGAGGAGGAGGAGGAGAGGAGGAGGAGGAGGAGGAGGAGGAGGAGGAGGAGGAGGAGGAGGAGGAGGAGGAGGAGGAGGAGGAGAGAGGAGGAGGAGGAGGAGGAGGAGGAGGAGGAGGAGGAAGGGGAAAGAGGTTTCGATTAGGGCTGGCCTTTCGGACCGCCCGACCGAGACAGACGAGAACCGACCGACCGACACGACCGACGACCGACGAGGAGGAGGAGGAGGAGGAGGAGAGGAGGAGGAGGAGGAGGAGGAGGGAGGACGAGAAGAGAGGAGGAGAGGAGGAGGAGGAGGCGGAGGAGGAGGAGGAGGAAGGAGGAGAGGAGCAGGAGGAGGAGGAGGAGGAGGAGGAGGAGAGAGGAGGAGGCGGAGGCGGAGGCGGAGGCGGAGGCGGAGGCGGAGGCGGAGGCGGAGGCGGAGGCGGAGGCGGAGGAGGAGGAGGAGGCGCAGGAGGAGGAAGAGGAGGAGGAGGAGGAGGCGGAGGAGGAGGAGGAGGAGGAGGAGGAGGAGGAGGAGGAGGAGGAGGAGCAGGAGGGGGAAGAAGAGGAGGAGAGACGCTTCGAGCCTGTGCGACCGCGGCTAGTCGCAGAAAAACAAGGAGAGGGAGGGGTGACAATGATATGATGATACTGCTGCTGCTGCTGCTGATGATGATGATGATGATGATGATGACGATGTTGTTGATGATGACGATGCTGATGATGATGATACTGATGATGTTGATGCTGATGCTGATGCTGATGATGATGCTGATGATGATGACGATGCTGATGACGATGATGATGATAATGATGATGATGATGATGATGATGATGATGATGATGATGATGATGATGATGATGATGATGATGATGATGATGCTGATGTGAGATGATGCGATGATGATGATGCTGATGATGATGATGATGAGGACGCTGATGGATGATGATGATGATGATGGATGATGATGATGATGATGATGATGATGATTGATGATGATGATGTGATGATGCTGATGATGATGAGCTGCTGCCGATGATGATCATGAGAGAGGATGATGAGGAGGATGATGATGAGGAGAGGAGGAGGAGGAGGAGGAGGAGGGCAGGAGGAGGAGGAGGAGGAGATGGAGGAGGAGATGGAGGAGTAGGAGGAGGAGGAGGAGGAGGAGGAGGAGGAGGAGGAGGAGGAGGAGGAGGAGGAGGAGGGAGCGACGCGCCCCTTTGCGCGTCGCCTGGCCCGCAGTGCGCCCGCCGCAGATTTGAGTGCTTCGATAACCAGAGGTGTACCAGGTAGCTCATGGCGGGATGCTCATCGGTAGACAGGTTTCGCAGCTACCAGCGCAGGAGGGAGGGAGCGAGGGAGGGTTCCGCCTCGGGTTGAGGGCACGCCGGAAGTTTCCCGCCCGCGTGGAGGGGGCGTCTCGCGGGGCGGACATTGTGGGCTGGCCGCGAGCAATACTTAGAGCCCGCGCCGCGCGTCCTGGCAGGACGGGTGGCCCAGGAGGCCTCCTGAAGGGCGGAAGAGGAAAAGGAACGGGAGGAGGAGGAGGGAGGGAGGGAAGGAAGGAGGGAGGGAGGGAGGCCAGGGAGGGAGAACGAGGAGAAGGCAGCAGGGAGAGCGAGCGCGGGAGGGAGCGAGCCGCTGACAGGGAGGACCTCGTGCGCTTCGTGCAGGGGGCCCAGGAGCGCCTCGAGGGGGTGCTGGGCCGCCTGCAGCCGCTGCTGCGCCAGCTCGCGGGCCACACGGCGCCGGAGAAGAAGGACGCTTCTCCTCTCGACTGGTAAGGCTTCGGGAGGAGGGGGGAGGGAGGAGGGACGAGGGGGGGAAGGAAGGAGGGGTGGGGGCGGAGGGAGAGGGGGAGGGGGGATAGGCCTAGGGCCTAGGGGTATAGTCTCAGCGGGGATACGCAGGCTTCCCTCAGGGGCAACGTTAGGAGGGATTTGCTAAGCGGGGAATGCATTGACTCCGGATCGCCCATGTCCATTGATCGCCGAGAGGAAACCGATTGCCCACCCCACCTAGGAATGTGCCTTTTAGCAGGTGGAGGAGGAAGAAGACGAGGAGGAGGATGAGGAGGTTGAGGAGGAGGATGAGGAGGAGGAGGAGGAGGATTAGGAGGCAGGAGCAGGAGGAGGAGGAGGAGGAGGAGGCTGCAGCGCTGCAGCGCTGCAGCCTACTACCTTTTATCCTTGTGCCACCCCCCACGGCAGTAAGCCGAAGGCTCACATTACCACTAGCATTGCCTGTTTTTTATGTACGTGTATTTCGTCCCACTCCGTTCGGACCGTCTTCGGAGTTGTTTTGACTAACGTAAAAGCTCGTTCGGTCTCTCCTCCCACACACCGCCTGGCTGGCGCATACTCTGCGCCGCTTGGGGCACTCTTCTTTTCTTTTTCTTGCTGCCCTTCCACTTCAGCTTTGCGCTGCGCTGCGCCAGGCGTACTTTGCTCACACCTCTGCGTTCAGTCGGTTTCTTTGCATTTCAGAACGCTGCGAGCCCCGCGCATGAAGTCCGATCAACGTCAAAGGGACGAGAGGAGGCTGAGGCGGACACGGAGGAGGAGGAGGAGGAGGAGGAGGAGGAGGAGGAGGAGGAGGAGGAGGAGGAGGAGGAGGAGGAGGAGGAGGAAGCGGAGGCGGAGGCGGAGGCGGAGGCAGAGGAGGAGGAGGAGGCGGAGGAGGAGGAGGAGGAGGAGGAGGAGGCGGAGGCGGAGGCCGAGGCCGAGGCCGAGGCGGAGGCGGAGGCGGAGGCTGCGGCGGAGACGGAGAAGGAGGTGGAGGAGGAGGAGGAGGAGGAGGAGGCGTAGGAGGAGGATGAGGAGGAGGAAGAGGAGGAGGAGGAAGCGCAGGCGGAGGCGGAGGAGGAGGAGGAGGAGGAGGCGGAGGCGGAGGCCGAGGCCGAGGTGGAGGCGGAGGCGGAGGAGGGGCGGAGACGGAGCAGGAGGAGGAGGACCAGTGGAAACCCAAGAGTCATCGACGATGTTGGAATGAACCCTCCTTCCAAGCTCCTCCATAGGCCCCTACAACGGTTCATTTCCATTGAGGGAACTGCCTCGTTGGAAGACAATAGTTTGACTATCCTGAAGCGTGCCAAAGCATTGTTCTCGGGAATTCAAAGCCACGTGTCAACCTGTCTGCTGCGTCTTGACGATCCAGAATCATGCCATAACGCCATTTCTTGGACTTCAACACGGCGAATCAACATAACTGTTGCGCCCGCGTAATCGTGAACCCTTCTAAAATCACCATGCCTGGTGCGTTGGCCATAGGAACCAGTGAAGCTCTTGCACATGTTTAAAACGAACGTGCGCGGCGCTAAGGCGAGAGCCACATTTTGAAAAGGAACCGCCCTCAATCCGTGAAGCTCTCGCACATGTTTAAACGAATGTGCGCGGCGCTAGGGCGAGAATCACACTTTTGAAAGGAACCGCCCTCAATCCGTGAAGCTCTTGTAAATTCCTTAAACGAATTTGTGCGGCGCTAATGCGAGAGCCACATTGTGAAAACGACCCGTCCTCAATCCGTGAAGCTCTTGAGCATTCTTAAAACGAAGGTGCGCGGAGCTAAGGCGAGAGCCACATTTTGAAAACGACCCGCCCTCAATCCGTGACGCTCTTGCAATTTTTTAAACGGATGTGCGCGGCGCTAAGGCGAGAGCCACATTTTGAAACGACCCGCCCTCAATCCGTGAAACTCTTGCAATTTTCAAGCGAATGAACACGGCGCTAAGGCGAGAGCCACATTTTGAAAACGACCCGCCCTCCATCTGTGAAGTTGTTGCCGCTTTTTAAGCTTCAGAGTCATACATGGTGCGGAGCTCTCAGTCGAAACGCCCAGCCGCCCTAACAACTGGCTTCGGGGTGCGACAGGGAGGAGTTATCTATAAGGAGAAGGAATGGAGGCGGAGGAGGAGGAGGAGAAGGAAAAGGAGGAGGAGGAGAGGGAGGAGGGAGGATGAGAAGGAGGAGGAAGAGGAGGAGGAGGAGGAGGAGGAGGAGGAGGAGGAGGAGGAGGGAGGAGGAGGAGGAGGAGTAGGGAGGAGGATGGTGCAACGCGACGTTGGGCGACGAACCGCTCTCACTGTTTGTGGGTGGGGGCTCGGCGGGGTGGCGCGCGACTCACCACCTCCGCCACCTGTCGAAGCAGGGATCTCTGGATATCCCTCTGAAGGGGAAAGGAACAAGTGGCACGCGTGCCCTGGCTCTTGCACCACGGAGCAGCGAGGGACAGGAGGCTTTCGCCTCCTTCCTCCAGGAGTTTCCTTCTGTGGCCGGGGGGGGAGGACGAACGACGAACAATGAAGAGGTCCGAGCTATAGAACGCAGCTGCACAAGAGAGTGACAGAGCCGCGGGCGGGGGGGGGGGCGGGGCGCGCCTGCTGCAGACGAGTGCGTGCGCCCAGGCTGCACGGGCGTCCTCGTGAAGGGAGGAGCAGGGAGGAGGGGAGGAGGGGGGGACGGGGGGGGCCGGGGGCAAGGGGAGGAGGTGGGGAGGGGGGGAGGTGGGGAGGGGGGGGAGGAGGGGAGGAGGTGGGGAGGGGGGGAGGGGAGGAGGGACGGGGGGGGAGAGGGAAGGGCGACCATCCGGGTGAGGCTTCAGGCTGCGCGCAGACAGCCCCGCCAGGCAGACCCAGCCTGCCCCAGGATTGGGGGCGCTGCGGCCGCCCCGAGATCCTCGGGGGGGCGCAGCCCGAAGCCTCACCAGGAGGTTCGCCCTTCCCTCCCTCCTCCCTCCTCCCTCCTCCCTCCTCCCTGCCAGCAGTCTGAGTCTAAAGTGCGCGTCTCTGAGCAACTCCATGTATTCTCGCACCACCTCGAGAGGTATTCCGTGACATTCGCATCTTGCCGCTGACGTGCCCGTTCGTACCGGAGACTGCTCGTGGAGACTGCTTCTAGTGGCCACCAGATTACTCTGATCAGATCAAGCATGCAACTTTCCCTTGTCTGGATGTTGTGCTGGAAGACAACTCCTCCCCGTGGCTCGCTCGAGTGTGAGCGCAGGGGGGGCGCTCTGAGCGGCGCGCGTGCCCCATTTTGTAGTGAACCGGGTGGGGCACACAGTCGTGCATACTCGCAGTCCTTTGCAGCCTTCTCGCGCCCCCTCCTCCTTTCGGGAGGGGATACACATAAGACGCAAATGATCGTCGATTCCCAGGAAAGTATGGGAAAAGATGAGAAGTGGAGGGGAAGACGGAATTCCAGGGAATATGGAGACATGTAGTGAGCTCGTGTCCGCGTGCGTGAGGCTGGTGGGGATCTTTCTCTGTGGAGGAACAAGTGTGCGCAAGATGCAATAATGGCGCTTCGCCGGGGCCAGTGGCGGCAAGAGGCGAAGATTTCTTTCTCCGCGCGTTGCCAAAACCACACGAAAACCGGCGGCGTGGAAAAAGCAGGAGCGTCAGCGGACAATTTCCAAGCAATTTTGGACTGGTTGCCCTTGACGACTGCCTGCATCTGGGCGTGCGAAGCACAGTCGCCGCAGGAAGCTCTTCGCGGAGAGATTCGCGGTAGATGGCTCTGGGGGGCGAGATGCGGCAGCAGCGCTGGTGCGGTGGGTTGGTGTCGGACGGAGCACGCCGTTGTAGTTGTCGATCCCGCCAACATGCTCGAAAACCTCACTGGGATACCAGTGCTACGGGGGAGGAGGAGGAGGAGGAGGAGGAGGAGGCGGAGGAGGAGGAGGAGGAAGAGGAGGAGGAGGTGGAGGAGGAGCATGCTCCGAGGGACGCACTGTCGCCAATCGAGATTTGCATGGGGCAGCTCACGGGCCCCTTACCAGAAGGGACAGACCTGGGCGTCGAGTTGCACGGGGCTCCTTCGAGGGAGATCTACGCTTAAGTCGGGCACGTCCCCCTACAGGAGGAATATTTCAAAGTAGTCAAAAAAGTCAGGGGACGATTTTTTGAGCATTTGTTGATTAGTTAGTGGTATTTTTAGAGTATCTTTAAGTTTTCGCCCAAACTCCGCCTGTAGGGGGACATGCCCGGCCTAAATCTACGCCATGGCTGCGTGGCGTTGCGATCGCTACCACGCCAAAGGGCTGCCGAACATTGGAATTTCTTGTTTCGCCAATGCAGTTTTTCGTGTCCCTCTTCGTCTGGGACCAATTTGGCGTGTGCTGCGACGCCGCGGGCAGACTCGTCGCAGTCACTCGGCGACGTGTTGTGGGCTGGGCGCGCTGGCAAGGCAGGCGGAGCAGTTGGGCTCGTCGATGGGAGACGTTTTCCCGCGTGCGCCGGACAACGTGCCTGCGGTTCAGGCGACTCGGAACGGACTCTTTCGAGAGGGCGTCGGGAACGATTTCCGCGGAGATGGTCAGTGCTACGCGAGCGAGCTTTGGACCTTACTGGTGAGTTCGAATGGCTGCGCGGAGCAGCGCGCTCTCCCAGAGCGAGCTATGCGGCGCCGTCGAACCGCTTTTTGGATGAGCACGTCTTCGGCCGTGTCGTGCGCCGAAGAGGGCGCTGTGAGGGTTGCGGGTGGGTTTCGGCCCTGTGCCAAGTCGAACGCGCGATGGCGATCAATGTGTGTGGGGGGGCATGGTGAGGTGGCGGGCGCGCTAGATCTTGGCGACTTAGTGGCGAAGGAGTCTCGCCCAGCACAATGTGGGCTGCCGTGCCCTCGCATGCCAACCCTGCAGCAGGGGGATGTGTGGGGTGGTTGCGTCGGGCCGTCTCAGATGCAGGGTCTCCTGGAGCGTTCGTCGCCCATGTTCCTCGTCGTGATTCTCAGCCGACGGAAGGCTGAAGGGCTGCCGAGAGTAGATGCTCGTGTGCGCGTTCCGCAAACGTTTACTTGGCGGGGCGGGGCCGCCATTCGATGACTGTCTTGGGGCGATATGCCATTTGCAAGACATTAATCACTGCGCAGCGTACTTCGACTGCCCCGGCGTGGGCGTCGTTAGGTTCGACGACGGCGTCGCCCAGCCCGTGGGTTTTGTAGCTTTCGCGCAAAGCCAGAAACTAACACCAGACGGACGTCTACCGTGTCGTGCGCGCCCGGACGCAGGCCGCGGGCGCGTCCGCGCAAAAGAGGAGCAGAGGGCGCTCTGTGGGAGTGGTGTCCGGCGACGCAGCGTGCCTGGATCGGGGTCGCTGGCGCGGAGCGGGGGAAGTCGAGGCGGCGCGTCGCGGTCTTCAGCGCGAGCACGACAGCGCGAGGCCGTGCGGCCATGCGAACGCGAGCTGCGTCGGCGGCCCCGGCGGGCTCCGAGGTGCGACTGGAGACGGTGGCGACGGCCGGGGCTGACTCAGGAGGGAAAGAAACACACGGACACAATTAATCGTCGACTCCCAGGAAAATATGCAAAAATATGGGAATTGGTGGGGAAGACAAAAACCCAGAAAATATGGGAAAATATGGGGGACATTTTTATTTGTGTGTATTTATTTGTGTGTTCCAGTTCCCCTCTACTGACTTCGTAATGGAAGGCGTCGCAGAGCGCAGAGGTACGGCGCCCGCGGCGCACGTTTTGCGGGGGGATGTCCTCGCGCCCGTGCGAGTGCTTCGACGAGCAGACTGTCGCGCATCAGGCATGTGGGCAGACGAGTGGCAGCCGCCTGACGCGTGCGTCGTGCCGGGTGTGGATTCCGCGCCGCCAGAGCTGCTCGGGCACCTGGAGAACGCGAGAGGAACGGCAGAGCCGTTCAGCCGGATTCTGCGCGAGCAGTGAGTGCGCACATGGTCAGGTCGGAAGCGAGCCCGGTCTACATTCGACCGCGCGTGCGCTGGGGTGGACAGGTGCAGAGTGGTGGGGGAGGAGCGTGTAGAGTTCATGAAGTTCCTCGTGGACGCTGTTGTGTTCGAGGCGAAAACTGATGAGGCCCGTTGCTCTGATTTGGCGTGCGCAGGGCGTGCAGGTGGGCGAAGTTACGGCCGTGGAGTGAGCGCGAGCTTTGTTGATAGCATGTTTCAGGGGCTGTCGCGATCAGGAGTGCGTTGAACGGCGCTCGGCGGCGCAGAGGAGCGTCGTACCGCTTGCGGAGCCTGCGTCAAATATCTGCAGGGCTCGGAGGAAGCGTGGCTGCATCCTGATACGCGCGGAGGCGGGTTGCGTCGCGCAGTGCCCGCGGGCGAAGTTCTCCGCTTTGCGTGGCAGCGACGCAGGCGGAAGGAGCGGAGCCGCTCAAAGACGCCGTCGCGCGTGTACTCCAGATTTCGTAATAAAAGGGAGGGGGTCTGGACCCTCCAAGACAAGCCATTTCAGACCTCCCCCCGTGGGAGAACCCTCCAAAACATCGTCCCCAGACCCCCCCAGGCCCTCCAAGATAGCCTGGAAGAGACCCCCCCCCCGAAATGAGACCCCCTCCCTTTATTACGAAATCTGGTGTGCTCGCGGTTCGACGGCCAGACGGCGGGGGAGCGCGGGGCGAACGTGATTTTCATGCGAGCGGACCCGAGCGGCGAAAAGCGCCCGTTTTGGGGCCGCGTGCCGAGGCGTGGGGGGAATCTCAGGCGAGAACGCGGTGGTGTTCTTGGAGGTGTTCAACGAGGCGACGGGGCAGTCGATGTGGTATAACATATGGCCTGCCACATGTGTTGTGCAACATACTCAGGAGAGGAAAAAACACACAGGCACAATTAATCCTCGATTCCCTAGAAAATATGGGAAAATATGGGAAGTGGGGGGGAATACAGAAACCCAGAAAATATTGGAAAATATGGGGAACATCTTTATTTGTGTGTATTTATTTGTGTGTCCTGGGGCCCCTTCACATATGAGGTGCAGCACATGTGCAGTCTATGCTGTGCGCCACACGAGCAGGGCAAGGCAATGCAGCGCAATGCAACGCAAGGCAACGCCAATCAGGGCAAACCAACGTACTGCAATGCAGAGCAATACCGAGCAATTCAACGCAACGCAGTGCAACGTACTGCAAAGCCAGACACAACTAGGCAACGCAACGCAAGGCGAAGCTGTGCAAAGCAACGCGCGCAAAGCAAATCAAAGTAATTCAATGCAAAGCACGACAAAGCAATGCACAGCAATGCACAGCAATGCCAAGCACTGCTGAGTAATGCACAGCTACGCAAAGCAATGCCAATCAACGCAATACAATGTGTGTGGTGCAATCTAACGGCGGCGACGAGCGGTGACAGTGGCGACGGGGCGGCGACGGCGACAGCATGGCTGCCAAACCGACGCACAGGCCCAGGCGACGGGCGGCGACGAGGCTGCGACGGGGTGGCGACGGCGGCAGCATAGACGCCAGACCGACATATAGGCCCCGACGATGGCTGGCGACGAGGCGGCGACGGGGCGGCGACGGTGACTACGTAGCCGCCAGACCGACACACCAGCCCAGTTCTTTAGACAACAGTTAACAGCCACTAAGCGCAAGATCCGTTAGGGGAAGAACGAGGGAGGAGAGAGAGAGAGAGATAAAACAACAGAGAGAGAGAGAGAGATAGGGAGACAGATAGAGAGAGAGAGAGAGAGAGATAACTAGGGAAATGGAGAGAGAGAGAGAGATCGACAGAGAGAGAGAGAGAGACAGACAACAACGAGAAATAGAGAGAGAGAGAGAGAGAGGGAACGAGAGATGCAAATAAAGAGAGAATGGGGGAGAGGGACAGAGAGAGACTTTACATTTTGATCTCTCTCTCTCTCGATGTGTGGGTATACAATCACACGCATTTTCATGTACACTGTTATATACATACGCATTGCATGGTTATGTTATTCTGAAGTGAGATGAAGGTAACGAGTTGGAAGAGGAAGAGTAGGAGATGAGGATGAGGAGGAGGAGGAATGCGCTGGCGGATGGAAAACGAGGAGGCGCTTTGAAGGGGAAAGAGGAACATTGTCACGATGAACACGAACGAGGACTATGAGGTGGAGGGCGGGCAGCAAGTGTTTTTGAGAGTCTCGAGGCGCAGCATGATTGAAACAACGCTCCTCAGCACGGCTGGGCAGCGGAGAACAAGGACGAAGCGCCATTGCACGAGAAGTACAAGGACTCGCAAGCTCCAGTCGAGGAGGCGGAGACGGGAGGAGGAGGGAGGATGAGGATGATGAGGGTGAGGAGGCAAATAAGGCGTCGGAGGAGGAGAGACAGGAGGGGGAGGATGATGATCAGAAAGTAGAAGGGAGACACCGAGGAGACGGGAGTGGATGAAAGAGACGGGGAGGAGGAGGAGGAGGAGGAGGAGGGGGAGGAGGAGGAGGAGGAGGAGGAGGAGGTCTTGTCGTCCGTATTCGGACGGACCAGTCCGACGCGGGCGCTGGGCGCGCCCACCTCGCCCGCGGACGGCAGGCGGGCCCATGGGCGAAGTATCAGGACGGTAGGCCAGTCCCAAGAGGGCCCTCGCACACTGGAAGGGGCCGCTCAAGCTTTCGTCGGGCCTGCGCAGTGTCCATAAGAGCAGGAACGCAGCTGAGCACAGGAGGGCGTGCAGGCAGCTACGGAGCTCGGACATGCAGAAGCAAGTTGCGGACGACGCCGCAAAGCCCTAGGAGGGCAGAGCATTCACAGCGCGAGCACCAAATCTGCAAGTGGCTGGGGAGCCCCCGCGCTCGTTCTCGCCTTTGGGGGCCTCTTTGGAGGCCCTCGATACCACCGTTGGCTTCGCTTCGAAACTCCTGGTCAGAGCGCACCCCAGGGGAGGTCCGGGGAGCAGCGGTATTGGTACCTTTTGGTTTCTCCAGGTTCCGGAAAAATGCGACAGCAGTTTTTCCAAACCATCCTGTGGTGTTGGGTCTTCGCCTTGAAGAGACAGCACTCCGCGTTCCTCTTCTCCTCCTTCCCTTCTCCGCAGTTCGCCTGCGTCTCCCCCGCCCAGTACAGCGTTTCGAGGCCCCAGAAAGGGGGCTCCAACGACGGTCCCAGTGGCGCAGTCCGCATGCGGTTCCTGCGCCCAGTGCAGCGTTTCGTGGCGTCATAGGGAACTCCACCGAAGGTTCCAGTGGCGCAATTCGCATGCGGTTCCTGCTCCCAGTACAGCGTTTCGTGGCGTCATAGGGAACTCCACCGAAGGTCCCAGTGGCGCAGTCCGCATGCTGTTCCTGCGCCCAGTACAGCGTTTCGTGGCCCCAGTGGCACCGCCCGTATGCTGCACCCCACCCAGTGCAGCGTTTCGTGGCCCCCGAGGGAGCTCCATCGAAGGTCCCAGTGGCGGAGAAGGCATGCGTTACCCCCACCCAGTGCCGCGTTCTATGGTCACATGGAGAGCTCCACCGGTCCCAGTGGCACCGCCCGCATGCGTCACCCTCACCCAGTACAGCGTTTCGTGACCCAATGAAGAGCTCCACCGAAGGCCTCAGTGGCTGCACTCGCATGCAGTTCCCCCGCCCAGTTCAGCGTTTCGTGGCCCCATAGGGAGCTCCACCGAAGGCTCCAGTAGTAGTGTTTGCATGCGTCCCCTCACCCAGTGCAGTGTTCCGCGGCCAGAAAGGGAGCTCCACTGAAGGCCCCAGTGGCGGTGTTCGCATGCGTTTTCCCCGCCCAGCACAGCGCTTCGTGGCGGGAGCTCCACCGAAGACCCCAGTGGCTCTACTCTCATGCGTCTCTCCCACCAGTACCGCGTTTCATGGCCCCATAGGGAACTCCACCGAATGCCCCAGTGGCGGCCCCGCCCCACTGTGTCGCACCTCATCATACATTTCGTGGCCCCGTAGTGCGTTCCGCCTGAAGCACCAGTGGCAGCGCCCACATGGCGGCCCCACCCTACATCGGCACACCCTTTGCATGCTTTATGGCCAAATGAGGAGATCCCGCGACGGCGATACCCGAAATGACGGTACCCACGCCTGCATATGGTTGGGTCTTTCGCCAGGATAATTTTCCCAACCGTCCTATGGTGTTGGGTCCTCGTTTTGAAGAGACAGCGCCCCGCGCCAATCCTCCCGCTGCCCCCTCCCTCCTCCCTCCTCCGCAGTTCGCATGCGCCTCCCCCGCCCAGTACAGCGCTTCGTGGCCCGAGAGGGGGCTCCACCGAAGGTCCCAGTGGCGCAGTCCGCATGCGGTTCCTGCGCCCAGTGCAGCGTTTCGTGGTCCCATAGTGAGCTCCATCGAAGGTCCCAGTGGCGCAGTCCATATACGATTCCTGCGCCCAGTGCAGCGCTTCGTGGCCCCGAGGGGGCTCCACCGACTGTCCCAGTGGCGCAGTTCGCATGCGGTTCCTGCGCCCAGTGCAGCGTTTCGTGGCCCCTGAGGGAGCTCCACCGAAGGTCCCAGTGGCGCAGTCCGCATGCGGTTCCTGCGCCCAGTACAGCGTTTCGTGGCCCTAGAGGGGGGACTCTACCGAAGGTCCCAGTGGCGCAGTTCGCATGCGGTTCCTGCGCCCAGCGCAGCGTTGCTTGGCCCCACAGGGAGCTCCATCGAAGGTCCCAGTGGCGCAGTTCGCATGCGGTTCCTGCGCCAAGCGCAGCGTTTCGTGGCCCTAGAGGGGGGGCTCTACGGAAGGCCCCGGTGACGTTTTCCGCATGCGCCCAGTGCAGCGTTTCTTGGCCCGATAGGGAGCTCCACCGAAGGTCCCAGTGGCGCAGTCCGCATGCGGTTCCTGCGCCCAGTGCAGCGCTTCTTGGCCCCAGAGGGAGCTTCACCGAAGGTCCCAGTGGCGCAGTTCGCATGCGGTTCCTGCGCCAAGTGCAGCGCTTCGTGGCCCCCGAGGGAGCTCCATCGAAGGTCCCAGTGGCGCAGTTCGCAGCTCCACCGAAGGTCCCAGTGCTGGAACTCGCATGCGGTTCCTGCGCCCTGTCCCAGTGCAGAGTGTTGTGGCTCCATAGGGAGCTCCATCGAAGGTCCCAGTAGCGCACTCCGCATGCTGTTCCTGCGCCCAGTGCAGCGTTTCGTGGCCCCATAAGGAGCTCCATCGAAGGTCCCAGTGGCGGAGAACGCATGCGTTACCCCCACCCAGTGCCGCGTCCTGTGGTCACATGAAGACCTCCACCGAAGATTTCAGTGGCGACGCTCGCATGCGGTTCATGCGCCCAGTGCAGCGTTTCGTGGCCCCAGAGGGAGCTCCACGGAAGACGATACCCACAACTGCGGTACTCACAACTGCATATCGTTGGGTTCTTCGGCAGGCTAATTTGACCGTCTTGTTTGGCAGTTTGTTTCAATTGCCGGCGCCCTTGTCTTACCGTCGTTTTGTTATGTTTGTTTTGCAATTGCCGGTGCCGTTGTTTTGATGCTTCTGGCCCCTCCGTTTTACCGTTCTTGTTCCCCCTCGTGGGGGCCTGGTCCAGATTGTCGCTTTTTCATTGGGTCCGAATCTCCAACAAGCGCCCACCTAACCTGCGAATCGCAGGCGGGCCCATACTGTAGGCAAATCAGCAGGACGGCAGGCCAGCTCTTAGTGGGCCCTGGAAGCGGCAGGGCAGTGTATCAACCGTTTTCAGAAAACTGCGTCTCGATCATGGAAAACGGCGCCTTCCAACAAGTTCATCGAAACGGTAACAGAAACGGTTCGCCGAAACGGCCTGGGCTGTCCAGGGATCTGGAGGGCGCTCGGAACCGGCTCGACAACCGTTCGGATCCGGGCCGCGACTCCCACGGGTGACACCTGGCTTAGAAGCGAAGCTCCCGTCGGAGGAGGCGTGGCTGGGAATTCCTTTGGGGAAGGTCGGGGGAAGGAGAAGCGACACCACCACCACCAAGGGGAGCCACCTCCAGCGAGTGGGTCCACGATGCCTCCCCGAGCTGGGGAGCGGGGATGTCTCGAGCGAGAGGAGGTGGGTGTGGGGGGGGGCACACGATTCGGCTACCCCCCTTGCTCCTGCTGCAGGTGGCTCCTCCCTCCGCCTCCTCCCCCTCCTCCTCCTCCTCCTCCTCCTCCTCCTCCTCCTCCTCCTCCTCCTCCTCCTCCTCCTCCTCATCCTCGTCCTCCTTCTGAGGCACGATGCGCTCCTCGTCCTCCTCCTCCTCCTTCTCCTCCTCCTCCTCCTCCTCCTCCTCCTCCTCCTCCCCGTCCTAGGGAGCGGGCCCCATTTGGGGAGCCATCCCCACGGACGGATGCTTGCCGCCTCAGAGGCCCGAACCTCCGTTCAGGGGGCGCTCTGGCCTGACCCCCCCCACTTGTGGGGGATGCCCTTGCCCAGGGCAAGAAGAGGAGAAGGCTTGGCTTGGCTCGGCTCCTCTGCGCGGCGAGATCCTGACTGTGGCAGCTACAACGCCAGGGCCAAGTGAACCCAGCGCGACCCCAATTAGGGGGAGGCTTCCTTTTGGTTGCATGGGCGCATTGCTTGGTCTTGCATGGCCTTGCATGGCATTTCTTGACATTGTGTGGCAATGCGTGGATCTGCGTGGCTTTGCTTGGTATTATTTGGCGAGGCAGCGAGGAGCCGAGACCAAGGAACCAGGGAACTAAGACCTTCGCATTGCCTGGCACTGCTTGGCGAGGCAGCAAGGAACCAAGACCAAGGAACCAAGGAACCAATACATCAGGACCAAGGAACCGAGGAATCATGACCAAATTACCTAGGAACTAAGACCAAGGAGCCCGAGGAAGGCAGCAAGGAACCAGGATCAAGGAAGGAACCCAAGCCAAGGAACCCGGGGACAGGCCGGCCGGCGCAGGCCTACCCCGCGCTTCGAAGACTATAGCAAGAAGCCCTTGGGCCAAGCCCAAGATGTGAAGCAGCGGAGCAGGACGTGGCCGCAGCGAAAGCGCCGTGCGGCTGGGCTTCCCCGGGGGCCATGGGGCGCCATGCCGGACGGCCCCCTCCTCCCCGTCCTCCTCCTCCTTCTCCTCCTCCTCCTCCTCCTCCTCCTCCTCCTTTCCCTCCTGCTTTCCCTCCTCCTCCTCCTCCTCCCCCTCCTCCTCCTCCTCCTCCTCCTTCTCCTCCTCCTCCTCCTTCCCTCCTCCTCCTCCTCCTCCTCCTTCTCCTCCTCCTCCTCCTCCTCCTCCTCTCCTCCTCCTCCTCCTCCTCCTCCTCCTCCTCTCTCCTCCCCCCTCCTCTTCCTCTTCCTCCCCCTCCTCCTCCTCCTCCTCCTCCTCCTCCTCCTCCTCCTCCT